GGATTAAGAAAGAGGATGCTCAGTTGAGAGACGTAATGGAGGGGGTAAACTTAAGAACACTAAAGGATTTGAAAAGGGAAGAGGGAGGGATTTTCACTAAAATAGATATATGGAGGTATAATCAATTAAAACCTTAACCTTTACAACCTTAATGTTTGTAATAAGTACTGTGAGATACGGAATTGTCTTCTTATAACAAAAGGTATTTATACGTCCTCACTTCCACCACATAACCCAAAAAGCACAAAGCTCAGTGTCTGCTTATGGGTAAGGTTTGTGAGTCTACGGGAACAGTACAACCATTAAGGTTGAGGTGAGGTGGTACGAAAGGAGAAGAGTCGACCTCTAAAGTACTGTGAGATCCAGCATTGCCTTCTTATAACAGAAGGTATTTATACGTCCTTGCGTTCACCACATAACCCAAAAAACATGGAGTCCAGTTCCTCCTTATGGGTAAGGTTTGTAAATCTAGGGGAACAGTACAACCATTAAGTTTGAGGTGAGGTGGTACGAAAGGAGAAGAGTCGACCTCTAAAGTACTGTGAGATCCAGCATTGCCTTGTAATAACAGAAGGTATTTATATGTCCTCACTTCCACCATGTAATCCAAAAACACTAGGGGAACAGTACAACCATTAAAGTTGTAGTGAGGCAGTATGGAAGGAGCCAAAAAAAATCCAACTCTAAAGTACTGTGAGATCCAGCATTGCCTTCCAGCAACAGAACGTATTTACGGGTTCAAATTTTCGACACATAACCCAAAAACAAGGAGCTCAGTGTCTGCTTATGGGTAAGGTTTGTAAATCTAGGGGAAAGTCCAATCATTAAGGTTGAGGTGAGGTGGTACGAAAGGAGAAGAGTCAACCTCTAAAGTACTGTGAGATCCGGAATTGTCTTCTTCTAACAGAAGGTATTTATACGTCCTCACTTCCACCACATAATTCATAAAGCACAAAGCTCAGTGTCTGCTTATGGGTAAGGTTTGTGAGTCTACGGGAACAGTACAACCATTAAGGTTGTGGTGAGGTGGTATGAAAGGAAAAGAGTTGACCTCTAAAGTACTGTGAGATCCGGCATTGCCTTCTTATAACAGAAGGTATTTATACGTCCTTGCGTTCACCACATAACCCAAAAAACATGGAGTCCAGTTCCTCCTTATGGGTAAGGTTTGTGAGTCTAAGGGAACAGTACAACCATTAAGGTTGAGGTGAGGTGGTACGAAAGGAGAAGAGTTGACCTCTAAAGAAGAACAGAAGGTATTGATATGTCCTCACTTCCAGCACCAAACCAAAAAACATGAAGCTCAGTCTTTGTTTTAAGGTTTTTGAGTCTAGGGGACCAGTTAGGGTGGCCACCTCATCCCTTTAAAACCAAACACGTTAATTACATGGGTTCTGAAGCTAATTTAATACAGATAAGCCACTAAGTGAGTTTAATTACCACCTTAATCAGCCACAGAACCTGTGTCATTAATATGTGTTCGATTTTAAAGGGATGAGGTGGCAACCCTAGGACCTGTATGATATGATGAGCCGGTACCAAAGGTACCATATTTGGGGTTGGAAAGCACAATGAGGAGTTTATATGACCAGGAGCTCCATGGGAAGGCAACAGATCTTCGAGCTTCCACCTACTCCGAGAGCAGTGCGTAGGAAGTCATGTGAGGTGAAGACAGGAAGTGATGTCAGGTACAAAACAAGAAGTTCCGGGTGAGAGGCAAGTCGGGAGGAAGTAGAGAGGAGACATTGGTGGAACTGGCAGCAAAGGAGATAGTAAGATATTATTTTCTATTTACACCCAGTTGCCCCTCGGACATGTCCATCCTCTTCCTCCATAGTCACTGTGAAGTCTTTTTTCCCCAGAAGACACCACTACTCACACACATAGTATAATAATAATGGCTCTCTATAGCTCTGACATATACTGCAGTGCTGCACAGACAACACACTTGCACTATATATAGTTCTATCAATTAAAATATCAAACGATGAGTGCTCATAGCGTGTTCTGTAGCTCTGAAAACCCGTTTGTGACCAGAGGTCATTCATGACTAGATGACCGATCTGGAGGTTCTGCTCCCCTGGACTTGAAGGCCCTCTACTGTAGAGTCAGCAAAGCCATATCTAGCCCTAATGAGGCCATTGAAGCCTGAAACAACTGCTTGCAAGTTGATAATACTGGCTGTAGAAGTAGAAGAAGTGGTCTCCACTGTAAAATATATTCCCACCGAGAGGTCTACAGTCCAAATAATTCTCAGTTTATCTCTCTGCAGAGAGGAGCGTTCGATATAGATTTCAGAACCACCTCAATGAGGATGGATGAGGACTGGAGTCACATGACTGAAAGGATATTAGACCTCACCCTGGAGATCGTCTACCTGCTGACCGGAGAGGTGAGGAGGATTCTGGGAGGTCACATGACATCATTATCATCTCTATTAATAAAACACAGACCTGACCAGAGAGGTGAGGAGGATTCTGGGAGGTCACATGACATCACTCATCTCTATTAATAAAACACAGACCTGACCGGAGAAGTGAGGAGGATTCTGGGAGGTCACATGACATCACTCTGATCTCTATTAATAAAACACAGACCTGACCGGAGAGGTGAGGAGGATTCTGGGAGTCTAACATGATATTCCTATTGGTTCCTCGATACAGAGAGTTCCTCTTCTGAAGTCAGGTGACCATATGACCATCACAGTGCCTCCATGTGACTCCCTAAACCCTGAGAGACACAACATGCAGAAGATTCTAGAAGTCACCAAGAAGATGATGGAGCTGCTGACAGGAGAGGTGAGCGGTGCCGGGAATTCTGGGACATTCTCCAGTAACAGACAAGGGATGTGTCTGGATGGTGACTGTATCATTGTGTGTGTCAGGTTCCTATAAGGTGTCAGGATGTCACTGTCTATTTCTCCATGGAGGAGTGGGAGTATTTAGAAGGACACAAGGATCTCTACAAGGACATCATGATGGACAATCAGCCGCCCCTCACATCACCGGGTAAGAGGAGACTTTATTGTAAAGGAGAGAGCAGTACGGAGGGTCCACCTAGATCCCCCATCATCTGATAAACACATAGAAACAATGGATTCAGTCAGTGTGTGTGTTTCTTACAGATGGATCCAGTCATGGGAACCCACCAGAGAGATGTCCCCGTCCTCTGTATTCCCGGGATTCCACACAGGAAGGTCACACCATCCCTCACCATCATCAGGTAGGTGGGACTGAGCATCTATAACTGAGGATGTACCCGAAACTTTATATATTTATTCAATTTTCTTTTGTAGTTTCAGATGTTACTTACTATCATGTTGTGGGTTTAGGAAGAAGACCTGATTGATATTAAAGTAGAAGTTAAAGAGGAAGAAGAGGCTGATATAGGCGGTGATAAGCAATCCACAGAAGGGGATGGAATGATAGTGACAATTAAAGAAGAGGAATCTTCTGTAGTTATCAGCACAGGTAAGAAATAATAAATGCTCCAACAATAATTTATATTGGCTGTTTGTCTTGCATTCATTTAGCTCATTTTTCTTATGAGTTATAATATAGTATTCCCTGGGAACAGTAACAGAATTTAACACAGTATGAACTATACTATGACCAAAGATAATTCATCCACATAATGTAGTTGTGAAAACACTGAGAAGTCTCCATTGCTTACTATCAGAACTACATCAAACGCCAAATAATATTCCCAGTAAGTAAGATGAAGATACTGGACACCATATGAAAGGACCATCTCCATTCCTCAATATAACGTCATGTTCCCAACAAATGAGGAGGAGATACTGGACACCATATGAAAGGTCCATCTCCATTCCTCAGTATGACGTCATGTTCCCAACAAATGAGGAGGAGATACTGGACACCATATGAAAGGTCCATCTCCATTCCTCAATATGACGTCATGTTCCCAACAAATGAGGAGGAGATACTGGACACCATATGAAAGGTCCATCTCCATTCCTCAATATGACGTCACGTTCCCAACAAATAAGGAGGAGATACTGGACACCATATGAAAGGTCCATCTCCATTCCTCAATATAACGTCACGTTCCCAACAAATGAGGAGGAGATACTGGACACCATATGAAAGGTCCATCTCCATTCCTTAATATAACGTCACGTTCCCAACAAATGAGGAGAAAATACTGGACACCATATGAAAGGTCCATCTCCATTCCTCAATATAACGTCATGTTCCCAACAAATGAGGAGGAGATACTGGACACCATATGGAAGGTCCATCTCCATTCCTCAATATAACATCACGTTCCCAACAAATGAGGAGGAGATACTGGACACCATATGAAAGGTCCATCTCCATTCCTCAATATGACGTCACGTTCCCAACAAATGAGGAGGAGATACTGGACACCATATGAAAGGTCCATCTCCATTCCTCAATATGACGTCATGTTCCCAACAAATGAGGAGGAGATACTGGACACCATATGAAAGGTCCATCTCCATTCCTTAATATAACGTCCCGTTCCCAACAAATGAGGAGGAGATACTGGACACCATATGAAGGTCCATCTCCATTCCTCCATCACGTTCCCAACAAATCTGGACACCATATGATCCATATTCCTCAATATATATAAGTGTACAGGACATCCATAACTTGCTGCTCTTCACTGGTTGACATCCCTTCCAAATGCAAAATATTAAAATGTTCTCTGTGAAAAAATGTTTCCCGACAGGTGGATACGATGTTTGGAATTCCCTGGAGGGACACGATTTTTTATCTCCAGAAGAGAACACAGAAGAAAATGGAATTGTCGAATATTCTTTGGGAGTGAACTCTGCTGTTGAAAACATACAACCTGAATTTTATTACATGGATGGATCATTAGATACCTCCAAGCCTGAGGAACCCTCTTCTGACAGGTCCTACATCGCTGGACTCAGTGAGAAGACATTTCCATGTTCTGAATGCGGTACGAGTTTTAGTAAGAACGCGGATCTTCTGCGACACAAGAGAATGCACACTGGACAGAGTTTGTTTTCCTGTTCAGAGTGCGGGAAATCTTTCATATTGAGGTCACACCTTGCTAGACATCAGCGACATCACACTGGGGAGCGTCTCTACGCCTGCCGAGAGTGCCAGAAATCCTTCAAACAGAAATCGGACCTTCTCAAACATTCGAAAATCCACACTGGTGAGAGACCTTTTGTGTGTACGGTGTGCGGGAAAAGTTTTACGGCCAAATATATACTCACCGAGCACCAGCGTCTACACACCGGCGAGATGCCGTTTAAATGTTCGGACTGCGGGAAGGGCTTTGTGCGGAAAGGAACTCTCATCATACACCAGCGAACTCACACGAGAGAGAGGCCGTTTTCCTGCCTGGAGTGCGGAAAACGGTTCAAACAGAAACTGTGTCTCGCCCGGCATCAGAAGCTTCACGCACTTGAGGAGTCTTTGTCGTGTTTGAATTGCGGGAAATCGTTTAAAACCAAGTACGAGCTCCACGTCCATCAGAGGATAGAGGCAGGCGAGGAGATCTTCACGTGCTCGGAATGTGAGAAATCGTTCTTGGCCAAATCAGATCTTCAGATTCACCAGAGGGTTCACACAGGTGAGAAGCCCTTTTCTTGTTTCGAGTGCGGGAGACGTTTCTCGGTGAAAGGGAGCCTCAATACACACATGAAGCTCCACACTGGCGAGAGGCCGTTCTCCTGCGAAGAGTGTGGGAAATGCTTCATCCAGAAACGAGAACTTCTCAGACACCAAGGAACACACATAGCCGAGCGGCCTTTCTCGTGCTCCGAGTGCGAGAAGTCATTCAAAACACAGGCCGATCTCCTTTTACACCACAGGACTCACACCGGCCAGATCTTTTCATGCCAGGAGTGCGGGAAAACGTTTCTAAAGAGATCGAAGCTTTCTCAGGCACCAGAGAGGGCACTCTGGGGAGAAGCCTTACTCGTGTTCGGAGTGTGGAAAACGTTTCTCCCAGAAAGGGAACCTGGACACTCACGTGAGAGTCCACACCGGAGAGAAGCCGTTTTCTTGCTCGGAGTGCGGGAAATGTTTCATAAAGAAAGGCGCTCTTGACCGACACCAGCAAACGCATACGGGTCTGCGGCCGTTTCCCTGTCTGGAGTGCGGTAAGTGCTTCACCAGGAAATTCAACCTTGTCCAACATCAGAAGCTTCATGTGGACCAGAGTTCATTTTCATGTCCTGAGTGCGGAAAATGTTTCACCAGAAAAGACAATCTAATTCGGCATCAGAGGAAGCACATGTGTTGAGGTCAATAACAAAACGTCTGACGGCATTTAATGTACTGTATATGACTTCTTGGCCCATTTTAAAAGAACTGTATGCAGGGCCGGGACAAGGGGTGGGCAAGGGGGCCAGCTGCCCTGGGCACGGTGATATCATGTAAGGTGGGGGGGGGGACGGCTTAGAGAGTTCCTTATAAGCTGACAGGAGTAGTGATGCCTCTTCACTCCTGTCAGCTTGGCTCTCCAGCTAGACCTGGAGAGGAGGAGAGAGCTGGGAGGAGGGACAGGCTGTGCTCTCTCTCCCCTCCAGCTCTCCTGGATCGGGACTGCCGGACCACCACTGTGCAGGTTACCCTCCCCCATTTCCTCCCAGCAAGGTAAGCAAACACCACACAGTCAGCCAATGGCATCTCTAGTACGGGGTCCCGCCCCTGAGACCGCATAGTTCTTTATAGCCCCCCTATAGTGATTGAACTTTTTTTTTTGGGGGGGGGGGGGGTTGCTGATACATAATGCTCATACATTTTTGGAGACGCCATTTGGCATCTTCGGCCCGGGCGCTAGGCCACCTTGTCCCGGCACTGACTGTATGATAAACGGATGGTGGGAACCCCTCATAGTGGGCACAGTGGGTGTGCAGGCCCGGGAACTCATCACAGGGATGGTGGGAACCCCTCATAATGGGAACAGGTGGTGTAAAGACCAGGAAACTAAATGCAAGGATGGTGAGAACCCCTAACCATGGTCATAAAAGGTATGCAGACCTGGGAACTCAGCATCATGAAGGTGGGAACCCCTCATAAGGGGCACAGCTGGCATAAAGACCAGGGAACACTGCACAGGGATGGTGGGAACCCCTCATAATGGGCACAGCAGGTTTACAGACCCTGGAACTCAGCACAGGGATGGCGGGAACCCCTCATAATGGGCTCAGCAGGTATACAGACCCGGGAACTCATCACAGGGATGGTGGGAACCCCTTATAATGGGCACAGAGGGTGTACAGAGCCGGGAATTCAGCACAGGGATGGTGGGAACCCCTCATAATGGGCACAGCAAGTGTACAGACTCAGGAACTCAGCACAGGGATGGTGGGAACCCCTCATAATGAGCACTGTAGGTGTACAGAACCCAGAACTCAACACAGGGATGGTGGGAACCCCTCATAATGGGCACAGAGGGCATACAGACCCAGTAAATCTGTGTAAGAATGGTGAGAATTCCTCAAAATGGTGGAAGATTCTTCATATATCCAGTGTATTCTCAATGTGGTTTATTTAAAGCTTTGTTTTGGACAACGTCTCGGTCAGCCTTCTGCTTTCTAAAAATAAATATTAAGTCTCACTTCTTCTGTCTCACTTTTTCTGCTTCGGTCATTTTGCCTGAAAAGTTTTACAGGCGGTTGAAGTAAACACAAAATTTCAGAGTTACAATATGAGGAAACAGACATTGGCATGCGGGTCCCATAGAGGGAGTCGATCGAATATTAAAGCAACAGCAAGTGCAAAAGACCGAACAAAAGAAGGCGCACCAACCTAGTGTGCTAGCCCGGGGGACAAGAGCTCTGAAGAAGAGGGGCCGCCCCTCAAAACACGTTGGCCAAATTGGATGCTGAACGGTCTTCCCGTGCTACAAGTCAAGTGTTAGGGACCTGTGGACACTCACCTCTTGATTAGTTGATGCCTATTGACATTATCCCAAGACACCGAAATGGTAACATGTTTTGAGGGGAAGTCCCTCTTCTCCAGGGCCCAGAGCTCTGGAGAAGATGGGCTTCCCCTCTTCTTCAAAGCCCAGAGCTATGGAGAAGAGGGGAAGTTCCTCTTCTCTGGAGCTCTGGGCTCTGGAGAAGAGGGGCCGCCTCTCAAAACACGTTGGCCAAGCTGGATATATAAGATGGCCGCCGGACTTCTGTGATCCGGCAGCGTGACGTCACAGGCGTGTGTGGCTCCTCCTTAACGCGTTTCGTACACCTAGTACATTGTCAAAAGGGGTGTTGCCATAGCAGCCTGGACGTCAATGTGGTGCTATTTATAGTTACAGAAAGCGCTCTCAATTAAGCAGGCGCCATCTTGCCGGCGATCCACGTGAACTGCGCATGTGCGGAAGCACGGGCGCCATTTTCCCGTGGATCGTCATGCACTAGCAACTAACAGCTACAGGTTCATTGGCCAAAGTCCCTTAAGGACACCATATATCTCTTTGGCATCTTATGCATTATTAGCATGGGCTAAAGGAATATCGTTCAGGTGTGACCGGAGGGGGCCCCCATTGAAAAGAAAACTCATCACCAAACCTTTAACCTTCATTTATTGCTAGTCTCCTAGGATGATAGAGTTTTTCTTCACAGGAAAAACTTCATACTTCCCATCCCCAGAGTTGAACTTTTCAGTCCAGGAGTCACTTCTCTCTCTGCTTCTGCATGACAGTTCTTGAGTCACCGTGGAGACAACGAGTGGCTGGTAATTAACCGAAGAAAAGAGCTGCTCGTTAAGTAGCAGGAGTCCAGCCCTGACAGCATTCTACTATGTCTGTAAGTACTTTTTGGACTCATAAGCATCAGGCTATTGTTTCTCAGATTTGCAAGGCTGCCACAAGGGTTTCACACATTAGGTTTTACCAGGTGGACGTTCAAGCCTCATCTGATGCCAAATGTCTTTCCTAATACTGATGTCACGCGGCTCCGCCCCACGCGTATCATCACCAGTCACATGACATGAACAATTATGATATGCATGGGGTGGAGCCGGATCAGTATTAGGAAAGAGTGTTGTTTTTTATGCCTGAGTGGTGTTCTTTGCTGGACTGGACCTAATACAAGCTATTGCACCAGTTGTCACTGACACCAAATGACACCAAATGTCAGTGTGCAATGCTTTCTATAATTCTTTATTGCTCCACCATGGGGGCCCTTATCTTCTTTTGAGCATCATTTGGAGCTGTCAGAGGAGCTGGAGGCCTTTTCCCTTAGAGGGCCACCAAGAAAATCCTAATTTAACTGAAGAGGCAAGCCTAGAATTCCTCACCCCTGGAGGGGACAAAGTGCTTATTGACCTCTATCCCACGAAGGTCAAAAATGCAAGGTGAGAGGCTTACCACACTAAAGGTGGAGCGCAACTGGAAAGTCGGTTTTGGGTGGAGTGCTGGATAAATTCAGTGGGATAACCACAAAACTTCAGTGTTGAGGGACTGTTTATCCACTCGAGCTCCAAAAGGTTTTACCCCCTTCGTGACCAGGACATTTTTTTACTATTCAGCAATTGGCAATTGCTCGGTCCTGCAACGCTGCACCCAAATCAAATTTATATCATTTTTTTTCAAAAGAAATGTAGCTTTTGGTGTTATTTGATCATCACTGGGGTTTTTTAAAAAAAAAAAATATTATATAAATGAAAAATTGAATTCTCAACCTTGTTGGTTTGAGCATTTACAGAAGATCTGGGACAGAACATCTGGAGCAGGGGCGGGCTGACCATTTGGGCCCGGAGTCAGTAGGGGGCCCCATGAGATGCCCCTGGTACCTTTCATAGGCTTTTTTGGGTGTGGTTTGAGTGTGGGTGAGGACAGAGGGGCCCCATGATCCCCTATTGCCTGGGGGCCCCATGAATTGTCAGTCCGCCCCTGATCTGGAGACATCTTCAGTGCCAATCCTCCACCAATATGCGCTCACCGGAGGCTAAAGCATGTGAAGCCTACTAAGACACTCCAGCCAAACTGGACACCCCCTGGTACCTCTTCCCCTTGGATGGGGATCGCTGATCAAAAATGATGCCCTTCTGGAGAGACGCTCATCACACGGAGCCCAGAATAAGATAGATAGTGTAATATTTTATTACGATCATGAACGAGACAATAAAAATAATTCATAAAAACCACGTGGAGTAAATAAACAAGAACCTACACAGATGGCCAAAAGGAACAATATCCCAGGCACAGGGGAGCCACGCTGGGGTCCCTGAAGGCTGACATGTTTCGAACATTAATCCTTCTTTCTCAGAGCCATCAGTCCTGGAGGGCACCATGCCTAGAAG